AATGTGTATGAACCTTAAGACAGCAAGACAGCAAATCTTTTTTTTTGTTTTTTTGAGGCAGGGTCTCCTGTAGCTCCAGCTGGCCTGGAACTTGCTCTGTAGACCACGAAAGTTTTAAAGATCTGCCTGCCTCTGCCTGGGATTAAAGGCGTGTGCTACTTTGCTGGCATCAAATCTGATATTATGTGCTTTTACTATAATTTAAAATTTTTTTAATCCCCCAATTTTTTTTTTTAAATTTTAAAAACTGCTCACTATCAGTGGCACATACCTTTAATCCCAGCAGAGGCAGAGGCAAGCAGATCTCTATGAGTTCAGGCCAGCCTGGTCTACACAGCAAATTCTAGGCCAGCCAGGCTAATGAAACCCTGTCTCAAAAAGCAAACAAAAAACTTGCTCACTGGGCTGGAGGGATAGCGCAGCTGTTAAAGGCTAAGGCTAACAACCAAAATGTAAAAAAAAAAAAAATTGCTCACTGTTCTAGACTGACAGTTCCACATTCCCATCTTTACAAGCAGCTGCCATGTGCCAGGTTTCATGCTAAGTACCAAGGATACACAGGTTGCCCTAGCAGGTGCTTCAAAAAAAAAAAAAAAAACAGGTTATAGTCAGTGCAAATGTGACAAAGGCAACAGAGAACAAAAGGGAGAGAAGCCTGCTTTAGATGCAGTGGCCAGAGAGTTTAAACTGAGACCTACTGTATGAGAAAGGGTACAATCTAAGGAACAGAGCAGCCTAGATCAAGAAGGGATGAGCTAGAGGGAACAGGCCTCAGGGTGGATATGGTCCTCACAGCCTCACTCTGTACTGTGACCTCTGCCTAGGGGCTGCCAGGACCCCATTTTTCAGGTCTCTACACCCTGTTGGGCATAGGGCTGCTTTATGGGCTGGAAAGAAAAGAAGACTTCCTATAGGGAAATGAAAACCACAGGTGCTCACCAGAATACAGCAGAAGCAAAGGGCCACTGGAGTAATCAGAGGACCCTCCCTTGCAGCTATCCCATATCCCCAGGCCTCCAGCATTCCCCAACAGCACCCTCAGGCTGTGGTCTGTGGTGCCATGTTACTAGGGCAGGACACAGTCCCACACTTACTTGAAGTCCCTCCTCTCTTGAGGTGGTCTCTGGTGGCTTTTCCCAAAATGGGCCTGTAGGAATGCCCTACATTTATAGACACTGCAAACATACACTCTGCCACGTTGCCCACCACCATTTGCTCTAGACTCAAACAGTCTCTTGGCAAGTTCTCAGAACACTCTACTTCCTACTGCCCATACACATGACCATGACTTACCAGCTGACCTCACCCCTTCCATGTCCCACTGTCATTTCTTACCTAAGAATAGGACAAAGGCCTGGGCCCCCAGGTGGCCCTACAGGGCCTGAGCTTTATTAGGGACCTAGCCTGCCCTACCCATAGCAACTACCTCATTGCCTAGTCAGTTGCAGTCCTGCTGAGGTGGCCAACAATGCCACCATCCAACCCTAGAGAGCCTACGACAAACCCCAGAGAGCCAGAGGCAGTCAGGATAAGCTCACATTCAGTTCCCAGGGACACCTCACAGTGGCTGGTGGTCTCAGATGGTATTTTAGTTCAAAAGGGCCCTGGCTCCAGAACAGCTCACAAAAGGCTCCTGTTGCAGTACTAGAACACCACGAAGTCAAACCATGAGTCTGCCACTGTCCAGAAGTGATTCTCCCCCAGAAAAGCAGCACCAAGAAATCAGTTAACTACAAATGAGCCCACAGACAAAAGGCAAGTACAAGATGAGTTTCTTTTGGCTTAGAGGTTTTTTTTTAATTTTATGTGTACGAGTGAGTGTACTGCCTGCATGTATGCGAGTGCACCCATGTCATGCAGTTTTGTTTGAGTCAGGGTCTTGTATAGCTCAGGCTAGTCTCAAAATCACTATGTCCTTGAACTTCAGATTCTCCTACCTTCACCTCCTGAGTCCTGGGACAGTTCTACGCCAGCACATCCAGTTGTATGTGGTGCTGCAGACTGCACCCAGGGCTTCACAAATGCTAGGCAATAACTCTACTAAAGCAGCTATATCCCCAGACCTTTGCAGTTTTTAGCATTATTGGGAAAGATTAGTATATATATATTTTTTTTTCTTTTTTTCTTTTTTTGGTCTTTTTGAGACAGGGTTTCCCTGTAGCCCCAGCTGTCCTGGAACTCACTACGTAGACCAGGCTGGCCTTGAACTCACAGAGATCCGCCTGCCTCTGCCTCCTGAGTGCAGGGATTAAAGGCGTGCACCACCACACCTTTATTAAAAGCCTGTTTCCTAAAAGGCACATTCAGTGCTATATATTAACTTTCGGCAGATGAGAAAACCAGCACAGATAGGCCTCAGACCCTGTCCAAGACCCTGGCTGGTCTAGTGCTTAGTGCTGAGAATTCCCAGCCTACAACCACTGCCTGTCCAACCTGCCTAGGAAGGGTAAGGATCCCTTAGCTCTGGAGTCCTTGGCTTCCTGAGGTTCTTTCTACATAAAGCCCAAACTCAAAGCCAACTCATGTGCTTGTGCATGACTTCCATGCTCCATACCATATTCTAAACTACTACAGCGTTCCAAACATACATTTTCTTTGTCATTTGCCTAGCTGTGGACCTTGTGCTAGTCACACTGAGTACAAATGTGCCCCCTGAACCTGTAGGGTTCCTCACACAGAGCCAATAACAGGTGCTGCCTGTTTCTAGAGGGAAGGAAATTCTCTTATGCACCTATGTTCTGCAGGCAGACCTCAGAGCCTGCCACAGGGTAGATGCACAATTTTTTTAAAAAGTTGTTTAGCCAGGCGTGATGGCACACACCTTTAATCCCAGCACTGGGGAGGCAGAGGCAGGTGGATCTCTGTGAGTTCAAGGCCAGCCTGGTCTACATAGTGAGTTCCAGGACAGCTGGAGCTACAGAGACCCTGTCTCAAAAAGACCAAAAAAAAAAAAGTTGTTTAATAGTAATCAATCAAGTAATCAACTGTATTAACCAGAGGTTTAAAAAAACAAAAAAAAGATGCAATGGTATTTAAGGGAAGAGATGAACTTATTCTTTTATTTATTTATTTTTTGTCTTTTTGAGACAGTGTCTCCCTGTAGCTCCAGCTGGCCTGGAACTCCCTATGTAGACCAGGCTGGGCTTAAACTCAGAGATCGACCTGCCTCTTCCTCCTGAGTGCTGGGATTAAAGGCATGCACCACCATGCCTAGCTGGAACTTTTTTTTTTTTTTTCTTGTCTTTTTGAGACAGGGTCTCCCTGTAGCTCCAGCTGTCCTGGAACTCACTACGTAGACCAGGCTGGCTTCGAACTCACAGAGATCCGCCTGCTTCTGCCTCCTGAAGTGCTGGGATTGGCACTTGCCACCATGCCTGGCCAGGAACTTATTCTTTTAAAAGAAGCCAACTCTGGGCTGGAGAGATGGCTGAGTCATTAAGAGCACTTGCTGTTCTTGCAAAGGACCAGTGTTTGGTTCCCAGAATCCACATGGCAGCTAACAACCATCTAAAAAAAAGATAATCATCATCATCATCATCCAAGGCTGGGCGTGGTGGCACACTCCTTTAATCCCAGCACTCGGGAGGCAGAGGCAGGCGGATCTCGGTGAGTTTAAATCCAGCCTGGTCTACACAGTGAGTTCCAGAACAGCTGGGGCTACAGGGAGACCCTGTCTCAAAAAGATCAAAAAAAAAAAAAAAAAAAAAAAAAAAAAAAAAGACAAGGATGAAAAAACAAAAACCCAACAATGTTTGACACAGCTCCAGCACTTTACAGTGGCCACTTCAGATCACAGATGCAGACCATATATACAGGAGATGTCACTTCCAAGGGAGCTAAGCTGCCTCCCAGCAGCAAGGAACAGACTTCAACTTTCACTGTCTGTTGCATTTTCAAGGGTCTGGAAAAACCTAAATGTAAGTTCTACAGCAACAGCCTGATTTTTGTGTTCTTCCTAATCCTTAAACACAATACAGTGTTTATCAGCCAACTCTAAACCAGAAGGAAAAAAAGGTAAAGAACAGTTACAAAACAGACTAAGACCAAGGAATTCACATAAATAATTCACTGACTCAAAAAGAACACAATGTGTACACAGGCAGAGAGAGACCCAAAGGCAGGCAACTAAATGAAATGTAACCCTTCTCAACCTTGCCCATTTTGTTTTGAGACAGGGTCTCCCTGTAGTCCCAGCTGTTCTGGAACTCACTAAGAAGACCAGGTCAGCTCTGACCTCAAGACATCTGCCTGACTCTACCTGGGATTAAAGGCATGATACCACACTATGCCTGGTTCAATCTTATGCATTTTTAAAGGCACAAACTGCTCTGGCCTGACTTGTTGCTTATTGTGTTTGGATGTGCATTCTAAATTCAATTAGGAGGTAAGAGAAAAGATACTTGTAACTGCCACCATGGCTGGATGACTCCCACTGAGAAGGGAGACAGACACTCTCACTGAAAGCACAAACTGTGCCATTTTAACTGTTAAAATAGCTACGTTTGGTAATGCAGGCCTTCCCAGCACAGGGAGGCTGAGACAGGATAAATTCAAAGTCAGCCTGGGCTATCCCAGTGAGACCATGTCTCGAAACGCCAAAGCCTGGGGGTGTAGTCAGTGTAATATGCTTGCCTAGCATGTGTAATCCCTGAGTTCGATCCTCACCACGAAAGTAAAATAAAAAACTGTTAAGATCTCCCGATCTCTTGCTGAGGAGCTAAGAACTATCAATTGTTGCTGGTAGAAGGGGCATCATTTTCTCTAACGGTGTAGTCACTGGGGGGCTAGATGGGAAGGAGTTCAGAGGGAAAGGAAGGGGGCACAACACAGGGGAATGGGGGCTGAATATGAATCACAATACATTGAGTATGAGTATGAAACTGTCAAAAGGAAAATCTGGGATTAAAAAGAGTAATGTAGAACGCCACGGCCTCCCTGGGCCCTTTGCACAGTGAGGACCCGCGCCGCAGCCCTGGAGCCCAGCAGCCGCAACTCCTCACCTGGCGCGCGGTCGGCCCGGCCCCGTTCAGCAGCGGCGTCCCTTCGTCGGGCCGCGCGGTCCTCCGCAGCAGCGGTGCCGCCTCCTCATCGTCGTGATCGCGGCCCGACCACGACACCTTCTTGGAGACGTTGGCCATGCTCCACCCTGGACCCGACACTCCGGGAAGCGCCGGGAACCCGACTGTGTTCCCGTGACCAGTACGGGCGTTCACGTGATCCACCACCTGCGCCCACGTGACTGCCGACCGCGCTCCGCGAGGGCCTTGCGCGGTAGGTCTCCTGGGAGTTGTGGTCCGCTGGTCCTCGCGGGCCTCGGTAAGGACTCTAGATTCCATGCGCTATTGCTGTGTCGTCGCTGAGTGTGGTGACCCAGACTGCCAAGAAGAATGAGCTCGAGGCTCTCCCGAGGCTATCCCAAGTCGGAGGCCCAGTCTCCAAAGTGATGTAGGGAAAAAGAAACTTGCTGTAAAGGTTCTGGAATACGCCACTTCAGTCAAGCTGGTGTCAGGTGCCTCCGGGGCCAGGCGCGCCAGAAAGTCTCTCCCCCTCCCCCCTCCCCCTTTCCTCTCCCTCCTCTCTCTCTCTCTCTCTCTCTCTCTCTCTCTCCTCAGAGGAGACTAACAAAGCGCTTGGGTCTGGTTTTGGCTAGCCATAGTTTACATGGCAACAATATTACAGCAAGGTTGTTTCCCAAATGTGGTCATCATACTGCTGTTATATCAACAAAGGAGATGCATCCTGAAATAGTAGGGACATGAATTGGTGCCAGCAACTTCAGGGACTTTAAAATCTAACTGTAATCATCAAGGGTGTAACTTTACAGAGAAAGAAGGGAAATGGTATAACGTTAACAACTGGCCTTGGCCTTCTGAGCAGTGGCATGACATTTGCTTTACAAAAGATGACAGAAAAGGAGCCAGTATGAAGGTGTCCATCCACTTTCTGATGGAAATTGGAACAGTGTGAAAACTATATTTGGCAGAAATATTGGAAAGGTTGGGGGCTAACCTGTGCAACATAGGAAGACCCTATATTAAAAAATAATTAAAATTAAATTCAGAATCTTAATAGTGACTGAGTCACATCTAAGAAAATTAACATAACACATCTAGGATATATCTCCTAGATGTGTGTGTGTGTGTGTGTGTGTGTGTGTGTGTATGTCTGTGCACTGTAGTATATTTATGTTGCAACTTTGTTTTAATTTTTTTAATACTTATTTTGGGGGGGGTCTTTTGAGACAGCATCTCCCTGTAGCCCCAGCTGTCCTGGAACTCACTATGTAGACCAGGCTGGCCTTGAACTCACAGAGATTCACCTGCCTCTGCCTCCCGAGTGCTGGGATTAAAGGCATGTGCCACCACGCCCGGCCTCAAAACTAAGAATCTTTAAAAAGTGTTGTTGTTGTTGTTTTCCATTAGGTGCATCCTTGTCGCCCTCTTTTGTACTGCTGAGCATTGAGGTTGGAAGTAAAGCTGGCTTGTATAAGGTCCCTAGGAGCAGGTGGGGGTTGAACTTAGATCTGTTTAGTTTTGAAATTCCTTGGTCACAGTTGCTTTGAGACTAGAAAAGACAAGCAAGCCCTTTGCCCCCCCTCCCATAGGTTCAGAGGCAGAACAGCCCCTCTCCTCTGGCTCTTCAGGGGTAGGGACCATTTCTCTTGACAAACAATAGAAGGTGCATGTTGTCAGTTGAACTGAGTGCACGGGTTTGGGTCTTGCTGGATGATAAGATTTGGGGCCAGATGGGATTGTCATATGTCGATTCTGAATAAAAATCACCAATACCACTTAATTGAAAGCAGCAAGGTAAAGTTTAATTACGGCCGACCGGGCTGTTTATATCGGGAATAGAAACAGCAGGGAACACCAGTCAACCAGAATATTTATAGGATTACAGAAAGCAAGATTCAAACAGAACATCTGTGGGCCAATCAGGTTTACACAACACAGCAAAATTCAAACACAGAAAACCTTGAATTTACCAATCAACTACTTGTTATTGCACGGGAGTGGACTTGGGTAAGTGAAGTAGGTTTACAGAAGCGAGATAAGCAGTTAGTCAAGTGCAGGCCTAGATTAGAACATCCTGTGGTATGCGGGCAGGCCATTTCTCGGAATTCAAAGTTATTTCTCCCTTCTAGGTATCTTTCATAAGTAGGGTAAAGGGCATTTCTCCTGAAATGGCTGCTTTGGGCAAAATGGAGTAACTTAGGTTAGTTTAGCTGAGATAGTTCAGGGATGGGCAGAAGACTAAGCAGAGTAGAGACACTGGGCATAGCAGGGCACACAGGAGGGGACATGAAGAGAATAGTCATAGGGTGAAGGGTCATGCCTAGAAGGATGGACGATCTCTGTGACCAAGCACAATGGAGCCATATCTCACAGCTCCTGACAGACCAGGACCATCAACTCACTTGTCTTTTTTTTTTTTTTTTAATTTTTTGATCTTTTTGAGACAGGGTCTCCTTGTAGCCCCAGCTGTCCTGGAACTATGTAGACCAGGCTGGCCTTGAACTCTCGGAGATCCACCTGCCTCTGCCTCCCAAGTGCTGGGACTATAGGCATGCACCACCACACCCGGCTCTTGTCTTCTTTCTATTGATTTTTTTATGGTATTAGGAGTTGAACTCAGAGCCTCATTCATGCCAGGAAAGTGCTCCACTACTAAACCACTCCCCAGTTCTTGTGAGAAGAGAGATGGACAGGATTGAACAATTGGGGAGGGGAGAACCTACAGCTTATAGTTGGAACTGACTCCCTCCAGGACCAGGAATATAACAATGTAATAGATATGGTTAAAGTAAGAATCTGGTGGTATTAGAGGGGATAGGGTTCATACTTCTAAATGTACATGGTGACTGTTGCTGACCCCACTTGGATGGTGAGTTGTGTAGATATGTTCAGACTGACTGGCTTCCAAACCTGACAGGCTTCCTACATCTGCCTGTCCCAGATCTCCACCTATCCTTGGCCTCTGACCATGTTGTCTAGACATTGCCCCAACACTGCTAACTGACCCCATCTAAGCCCTTCTACCTTCCTGGAGCAACCTTGATGTCATGAAGCATCCTGGATGCAGCATCCCACAGTGCCGTAAGATTCACATCTGCTGAATTCCCAAGTTCTGCAGTGATCACTGTGATATCTTGGTGTGCCCCCTCCGCCGGGCCATTTTGAACACTTGAAAATTGGGAAGAAACACTATAGAAACTCTGCCCTGCCCTGCAGTTGATGTTTTCTTGTTCTAGCTCTGATTTCATGGGCCTAAGGGCACTTCTTATTGTTTTGGTCTCATATCTGAAGTTGAAAGCAAGAATTTTATAGTCAAACCATTACCTGATGCTAAGGGTCTTGCGCAGGACAACTATCCCAGGGACCACACTGTTCTTCAGCAATTACTAGATCACTGGTCTTTCCAGAACAAAGATATTACTCTGTACCTTCCTTGGAGGCAGACTGGAATAATGGTCCCAAAAAAGCATCAGGGGAGGCAAGAAAGGGAATTTGGGGAGGAAGGGCTCTCAACTGGGTGCACTTGCAACCAGGAGCTCAGGTCCTGGGGAAGCAGAAGACAGTGGGTGATTCAGGGGCACGGCACATGGCATCCACGGGGGTTTCCAGTTCTAAAATACTCTGTGACTCAGGAACATGTGATGTTGTACAGGACTATTCTCCGAGCCAAACTGCTACCATCTTATCAGATCAGCCCTGTCCACTTGCAAAAGATTGCCGCACCTGGGCCTGTGGACTGCTGACATTTCTTCAGAGAAGGAGAGGATGGAGAGGGTCACTGGATTCTCTCCTGAGTATCTAGCCATTCCTACCAACAGGTTGTATGCACTTCTGTCCTAATTGCTCAAAGTCTTTGGGAGGTCTCCAGTATATAGGCTGGGAAAGACTAGAGGAAAGGGAGTCCATCTTTGTAGCTATAGGGAAGCCATCATCCATGCTGAGTGAAGAGTTATCAGTTTGATTGCTTTGGAGTCATCCAAGCTCATGTCAGTAATCCCTCATCCGTGCTCTGTAAGTAAGCCCAATAATTTGTTCCCCAGGTGGAACTTTGGTGGAATCAAACTTTGATTTGCCACTGGGACTTTTGGGGGGTGGGTGGGCATTGTGGGCTGTTGTGGGAGGCCAACTTTAGCTGAATGCCTAGAGAGCTAGCCCACCAAGATTGGAGAGATGCTAAGAGACTCAAAGGATTTAGGTCTGGGGATGTAGCTTAGTTGGTAGAGTGCTGCCTAATATGTATGATACCCTTATGTGCACACTTGTAATCCCAGGACTAGGGAATAGGACTAGGATCAAGAGTACAAGGTCAGCCTGGACAACATGAAACCTAGTCTCAAAAATAAAAAGTTCCACCAGGTGTAGTAGCGCATGCCTTTAATCCCAGCACTTGGGAGGCAGAGGCAGGCAGATCTTTGTGAGTTCGAGGCTAGCTTGGTCTACATAGTGAGTTCCAGGACAGCTGGGGCTACAGGGAGACCCTGTCTCAAAAAGACAAAAAATAAAATAAAATAAATAAAAAGTTCCAGGTATGGTGGTATACATATTTAATCCCAGCACTTGGGAGACAGAGGCAGGTGGATCTCTGGGAATTTGAGGCCAGCTTAGGCCAGCTGGGGCTACAAAGAGAACCTGTCTCAAAAACAAAAAAACTAAAACCCCAAACAAAACAAAAACAAATGGCAAAGCCTGAAACACTAAGAAGATGAATAAGAGGCTATGGCTGGGCATGAGATAACAGAACCAACCAGATACAAGGAGGGACAAGGCTGTGGCCCAGGGGCAGCAGAATGTCCTCCCTCCCCAAGACCTTGAAAAACACTTTAAGGCACTATTGTCCTTTCATATATCCTTTCTTCTAATGTAATTGTTTTTCTTTTTTTTTTCTTTTCGCTCTCTTTTTTTTGAGACAGTGTCTCCCTGTAGCCCCAGCAGGCCTGGAACTCACTATGTAGACCAGGCTGGCCTTGAACTCACAGAGATCCACCTGCCTCTGCCTCCCAAGTGCTGGGACTACAGACGTGCACCACCACCATGCCTGGCTTTTTTTTTTTTTTGGTTCTTTTTGAGACAGGGTCTCCCTGTAACCCCAACTGGCCTGGGACTCACTCACTATGTAGACCAGCATAGTCCTGAACTCACAGAGATCCGCCTACCTCTGCCTCTGGAGTGCTGGGCTTAAAGGTGTGGCTGCTTCTAATATAACCAATTGTAAGAGATACCATCTAAGAAATCCTCCACTTATTTCAGAAAGGAGACCCTAGAAGATCCCCTAGTAAAGGAGTTACCTAACATGAACTAAGAACAATTGCAGCTGTTTCTTGATAGCTTAAGAAACAAAGAGAGCTTAGTATAATTAATAGCACAATGGACACCTGCATGGTCTGAGGACAGCACACTGGACAAGTGACTAACAGCTAGCAGACAAAGTAAAAAACAAAGCAGGAATCAGTGATGGACAAAGGGGCTTCAACCACCATTAACTCAGTGGGCTGCACACCCCCAGCACATCATCATCTCTGGGTGGGCTGGGGGATATGTCAAGAGTGTGCCAGGCCACTCAGTGACTAAGCCAGCTATAGGAGAACTGACCAATCTCATGGGGATCACCTCAGCCTTTGTTCAGTGTCTGCTATAGCCCAAAAACCCCATAGATGGGGCTGGAGAGATGGGCTCAGTGGCTGTTCTTGCAGAAGACTTGGGTTTGATTTCCAGCACCCACATGGTGGCTAACAATTGTCTGTAACTCCAATTTCAGGGGATCTGATGCCCTCCTCTGTCCTTGGGTACTGCATGACACAGGTGCACTTACACACATGCAAGCAATACATTCATACACACAAATTTTTTTTTGTCTTTTTGAGACAGGGTCTCCCTGTAACCCCAGCTGTCCTGGAACTCACTATGTAGACCAGGTTGGCCTTGAACTTACAAAGATCTCTGCCTCCCAAGTGCTGGGATTAAAGGCATGGGCCACCACACCCAGCACACATAAAATTTTTTATTTTCAACAGCTTTTTTCTCTCCTTAGAAACCCCTTGCATTCTGGGGAATTTTTCTCAGTTTTCCTTAATTTCTCTTTTGCTCTCTTTATTTTACTTTTTTTGAGACAGGGTCTCCTTGTAGCCCCAGCTAGACCCAGGCTAGTCTTGCTCTCACAGAGATCAGCCTGCTCTGTCTCCTGAGTGTACCATCATGCTTCAAAGTTTTCTTTTATTTCTCTTAAGAAGCTTGCTTCTGCTTTGCTTACTCCCACAAATGTTCAAATCATCATCTTCACTGGTATGAGACAGCAAACTTGATGGCCACTGTCTCAGGTTGGCCTTACATTTTTGTAAATTTATTTTTATGTGTAGTCATGTTTCGCCTGTGTGTATGTAAATGCACCACATGTGTGCCTGGTACCAAAGGAGGCCAGAAGAGGGCATTGGATCTCCTGGAACTGGAGTTATAGAAGGTTGTGAGCCACCATGTGGGTGCTAGGAACTGAACCTGGGCTCTCTGCAAGAGTAACAAGTACTCTAAGTGGCTAAGCCAGTTATCTCTCCAGCTCTCAGGTTTTTTATTTTATTTTATTTTTTTGGTCTTTTTGAGACAGGGTCTTTCTGTAGCCCCAGTTGTCCTGGAACTCACTATGTAGACCAGGCTGGCCTTGAATTCATAGAGATCTGCCTGCCTCTGCCTCCCAAGTGCTGGAATTAAAGGCATGCGCCACCATGTCCAGCTATTTTTTTTTAAACAACATCTCACTGTATAGCCCAGGTTGGCCTTGAATTCATAGTCCTCCAGCCTTTCAGTGATAGATCACCTGGCTTTCACAGTGACATTTTATGGACTGCACCTTCATAGCCATGGCCTCCTTGTTTGCAGTATGCTGTTCTCTCACCAGGGCTGAACTGGTAGAGGGGCAGAGCCTCTCATTTCAAGGCATCTTTGCATCCAGAAAGCAGTCAGAAGGATCAAAGGTCAGTTCCGGGGCCCCTTTTCCTTCAAGCTAGAGAGGCAGCATTTATACCATTGTTACCTCCTCCCCAGATTACTGAAACTTTTCCTGTGGACAGTGGATGTTCCAACAGCTCTCTCGTGGAAAGGGTTTAAAATTCTGTTTTCTTGCCCTCTTTCCCAGAAGCCTTAGGGATTCCCTCAAGATGAGCTGGTCAGTCTTGTTCTGTTGTCCTATGGTAGCTGCTGAGGCCGTCAGAGTTGCCATTAAAGACACTCTAGCAACGCTTTTATACCAACTTTATGAGGTGTAATTTTCATAATATAACATTTTCAAATGGACAGTTCAAAGATTTCTAATAAATGTGTTGAGCTATATAACTAGAACAATCTAGTTTTAGGGCACTTCACTTGTCAACCGCCCCCTAACAACCCCAATCTGCTTTCTGTCTGTGGAGTTGCCTATCCTGGACAATTTCGATAAATATATGTCTAGCTTCTGACTTCCAGCACAATGTTTTCCATGTTTATCTGTGTTGTGGCGTGTGTCTGTGCCTCATTCCTTTTTGTGGCTGAATGATACTCCAGTTTGTTTATCCATTCTTCAGCTGATAGACATTTTGATTCTTGTGAATAAAGCTGCTATGAGCATTCTCATATGCCCAGCCCAAACTGTTTTTTAAAGTTGCTGCACTATTTTACATTCCCACTATCCATACACAAAGGTTTCTCCTTTTTCAATATCCTTGACAGCATTTTGTGTTGTGTATTTTGACAAGCTTTTCTTTGGATTCCAAATCAGAGCCATTAAAAAATGCACTGACAATTAGAATAGGCATTTTTACTTTTAGTTTCAGTATGATTAAAATTTAACACTATGCCGGGCGTGGTGGTGCATGCCTTTAATCCCAGCACTTGGGAGGCAGAGGCAGGCAGATCTCTGAGTTCAAGATTACCCTGGTCTACATAGTGAGTGAGTCCCAGGCCAGCTGGGGTTACAGGGAGACCCTGTCTCAAAAAGAACCAAAAAAAAAAAAAAAAAAAAAAAGCAGGGCGTGGTGGTGGTGCATGCCTGTAGTCCCAGCACTTGGGAGGCAGAGGCCTGCGGATCTCCGTGAGTTCAAGGCCAGCTTGGTCTACATAGTGAGCATAGTGAGTTCCAGGACAGCTGGGGCTACAGGGAGACCCTGTTTCAAAAAGACCAAAAAAAAAACAAACAAAAAAAAAAACAAAAAAACACTAAAGCAAACATCTTACCCCAGTAAACAAAAACCCCAATAAAACTAAAAAAGAATGCCACAGAATAGAAAGTCACAATCTAGGGCCTCCTCTATCTCCACTGCAGGTTTCCTATCTGCTCCCCCACGCCCCTGCAGCAGGTGTGTCCACGCCTACATTAGAGTGCAGGTGCATATACCCAGGGGAGTGTTTTGGAATGTACTAATGCATAGGCTTGTTCCTCTTGTGTGCCCTGAGCATGATGCAGCCCCCACGTGGGACAGCCTCATGCACAGTGTTCCAGGCAGGTGCAGTTGGCCCTCTGTACAAATCCACCTACTGACATGGCATTGGCCAGTGTCAGAATGGCACCTGTTGGGAACTCTTTCCCAGTGGCGAGGTTTGCAACTTCCCTGGGGGTCAATGCCCGATCCCAGATGGCCAAGCCAGACATGCTCCCTACAAAGGCCTCGGAGCTGTCAAACTCACCCCCCACAGTGTCTTGCTCCTGACCCAGCACAAGGGACCCTCCAGGAGGGATCTCATAGCCCTCCCTGAAGTGGGAGCCAGTGGCCACTAGTCTGCGGTCCATGTAGAGCCAGTACCTGCCCTCCATGGACGTCCAGATGATACAAATATGGTGCCACTGACTGTCCAGTAGTGGCTGCAGGGACAGCCCCCTGAAGGCAGGGCCTCCAATCACAAAGTGGATGGAGCCAGGGACCAGGGAGTCTCGGCCATGCAGTACCAGCTTGTTGTCATTGTCTTCGGTGGCATAGGAGAGAAGGGTGCCCAGGTGGCCGGAAGCCATGCGGACCCAGCTGCAGAAGGACAGGGCTCGTAGGGGTGCGAGGAAGCCAGGGCTAAGGAAGATCATGTTCTCAGTGGAGGCATTGGGGAAAATTAGAACTGGGCCCATGCTGCAAACTGGAAACAGAAGGAAGAGAATCAGCCCACTCTCCAGGGCAGTTCAGGAGCATCCTGCTGTAGGCCTGCCCCATGTTCTCAGGGTCTTGCCTCGAAGCCTTTCCTTTGCCCTCACAATCTGATCACCCTTGTTCCACAGGTAGGATGCATGAAGTGGATGTGTCCCTGAGTTGTCTGTCTGCCTATGAACTGAGCTCAAGCTCCTTACCAGAGCTCAGGTGCCTCTGAGCTCCCCAAGGCTGTTGGAAATTATTGTCATAAATTTAATGACTTAAACCAGTCCTTTTGGAGATCAGAAACCTGAACTTGGTCTTGAAGACACATTGTTCCATGGTCAGGTTCTTCCAGAGGCCCAGGGAGAAACTATTTCATTCTCTTCTGGGCTGCTAGAGGCCCTGCAGGTCTTGACCTGTGGCCATCCCCCCATTGCCAGAGTATATCTCTCTGACTTCTGGTTCTGTCCTCAGATTTCCTTCAGCTCGCTCTCTCTCTCTCTCTCTCTCTCTCTCTCTCTCTCTCTCCCCTCCCCTCCTCTCCTCTCCTCTCCTCTCTCTCTCACCCCTGGTGACTATATGGTGTACAGCCTGATACTTTGGATGCATTCTGTAAGAAATAAATCATTATGTCCCATTTTCAGTATGAAGTATCTTTAGAGCTCATCAATGAATTTCAGATAAGCAGGAGGGACTAGGCCCCTGGTAGCTGACGCTTGATTGCCTAGACCCTTTTTAGTTTATCTTAAGGTTGGAAAAATCAGTCTGCTAAGTGACTGAGCCCAGTATCAGGAAAGGAAGGGGGTGTAGGGGGATGGTGGGATCTTGAGCCCTAGGGGGATGGAGACTTTGGGGCACTATGTTAGATAATTGGGAAAGACTGTACCTCCCTGAAGAACTCAGCTAGTGAGAATTCAAAGGGGTAGGGTAATGTGATTAGGGATAGAAAAATCAGCTTTGTGCTGAATTGGCACAACAGCCATTTTTGCCTTTTCCTTGGGCTGATGCCTAGTTTCTGCAGAACTATAAAATAAATTACTTCACTTCCACTACTCTGACTCTCCAGTACCCTTAATTTGAAGTAAAGATCATTGTTTCTCACAGTTTCTCCCCTTGAGGCTCCTGATTCACCCACTTCAACAGAGGCCCTTCTGCCATGTGGGTGACCTGACCTGCTGGGGACCTACAAACAGGCTATTACCTACAGGTTACAAGGTCGGGCCATCCTCTCTTCTGGGGTGGTGCATGTGACTTTTGGAGAGAAAGCTTTTGGGGGTGATGACACTATGACCTCAGGTATTGGTAGAGGGAAACCTGGAATTTGATGGGGAGGGAACAGGCTTATGTCACTTACTGTTTCCTGATCCCTGGTGGGTCCATGCCAACTGAGAAGTGTCCTTTGGGGCTGCCTGATGGCTGTTTGGGCCTTGGAATTTCTGCATCCCCTGGATATGGGCAGCAAAGTCCTGGGGGGAACTTCTGTGTTGGGGTGAAGGCCTGAGTGCCTGGCTGTCCCTCTGTAGCTGTAGAAAGCCTGGGCCCTGCTAAACAAGTTGTGTGGGGGTCAAAACTGGGGTTAGCCCCAGGGTTGCAGAGTCAGGGGTGGCCCTCTGCAGCTGCCCCTCTAGAGCAGCCAGCCTGGCACCCTGGCTATGGACTTCATGCATCAGGTTGACCAATGCGTCCTGCAGGGCTCCAGTGTCCAGGGCCAGGCTTGCAATGGCCTCCCTCTGTCCCTTTTTTTCTTTCTCCTGTTCCCACTGCCTGCTGTTTGTGCTCAGGGAAAGATCCAAAGCTTGAAGTTGGGCATCCATCTTCTGGCTCCTGTGTTGGGTCTTCCTCATCCAGGTCTTTAGATGGGCCATATCCCCTTGTATGGCAGCTTGAGACCGGTTCACTGCTAGAGCTATGGCCTGGTTCTCTTCTGCCAGGCTCTGGAAGCGGGCATCCACATTGTATGACACGTAGTTATTGGCAATGCTCTGCAGGTGTGTTAAGGTTACTTTTTGGAATCTCTGAAACTAACGAGAACACAACTGATAAGGGTATGGGGAAAGGCTTTCCTGCTCACACTTCAGAAGCACCTACTGTACCTCAAGCCCATGGTTGGCACTGTATATAGATTGACCAATTTGACCCTTGTCACCATGCTAGGACATGTGGGCAGATTACCCAAAGGGTACAGAGGAGGTAACAGTTCTCGGGCCACACAGCTGCATGGCATAGGATGTGGGCATCAGGCTCATGGCCCTGGCTCTAATGCTGCCCAAATCCCACACTCTGGAAGACCAAAGCAAGTTATTTCACTGCTATGATTCTCAGGACCATCCCTGTAAGTGGAAGGGCCTGCAGGAAGGGCTGTGTATGTGGTTTTTTTTTAATAGTACGAGGGATGAATCCAGGATTTTGTGCATTCTAGGCAAGCACTCTCCTACTGAGCTACAACTTTAGCGCACACCCCCGTTTTATTATTATTTTTTTTGAAACAGAGTCTCACTCTGTAGCCCAGGCTGTCTTGTAACTCACTATGTCACCCAGGCTAGCCATAAATTCACAGCAATCCTTCTCCAGCCTCCTGAGTGCTGGGATTACAGGTACACACCCCCATGTCTGGTTTTACCAGGATCAATACAAAAAGTGCTTGAGCTGGGGTAACATCTATAGACCCCATAGGAGCCTCAGGGCAGGGCATTCTTTCTGCTTTGAGCTATACTAGTATCCGCAAAGCTCCCAGACCTAGGGATGCTGTCCTGTACTATTACCCTCCTCCACTCCTCTATGTTCCTCAGACTTTCTAGAGACCCCTTCAAATCTCTTGCATCTCCATCCACACATCATCTGGCTCAACATTAGAGCAGAACCTAGTAAATACATCTATCATTTCCAATGATAGGTAAGAATACTGTCAGCTTCCAGCAAGGACCACAAACCAAGTGCTTGTGTCCACTGAGCACTGATGCTGGCAGCTGTCTCTGTGATATCCATCTATCTGCTACCAGTTTTATAAAACCAGTTGTCCAGGCATAGTGTACCTACCTGCTCTTCTAGTCGATGGAGCCTCTCAAAAAATGGTTTTCTTTGTCCAGCTGGCCCAGCTTCCTGCAATGGGGCCCCATGTACATATACAGGTAGAAAAATGAGGAGGAAAGATAGGGTCTTCTTCCCTAAGCAGCCCATGCTTAGAACTTGGGGCTCCAGACATCTCCACAGGCACAGGAACTAATGTTGGTCTCACACATCTGCTTCATCCTTCTGCTCCCTGTAGCTCAATACTTGAACAGTTTTCCTTCTTCCCTAGTCGGGTATCAGGTTTTCCCTGCCACCTTAATGAAAGGCATCTGCCTTCAATCCAGTGGGCTCTGAGAACCCAAGTTTCCCAGGGAAACAAGCTTTAAACAGCCACAAACAGTTTATTTCGGAAAATTATTCTAGTGGATGTGCACAAGGCTTTGTCTGGTTCATAGGCAGACAGGAGCTGATGATGGCTTTAACAGGAGCACATGGTCTCAAGTTCCCACCAAGAAGTCAAAGCAGGACAGGGGACTGAATATAGCCAGGAAGTTGTAAGAGCCAGTGTGCACTGCTGCCCCACATCACAGCCATGCACAGCCATATCCCTTGAGTCCCCCTTTCTCTTTCTTGGAAAGAGACTCCACCTTGGTAATGTGACTTTGACCTATTTTTTTTCCCAGGATGAATATGTATTTCCTCTCTCTCTCCCTCTCTCCCTCCCTCCCTCCCTCCCTTCCCCCCTCTTTCTATCTCTCTCTGAGAGACAGCCTCCCTGTAGCCCCCAGCTGGCCTGGAACCTGGAACTCACTATGTAGACCAGACCTTGAACTCACAGAGATCTGCCTGCCTCTGCCTCCTGACTGCTGGGATTAAAGGCATGCACCACCACGCCCAGCTGGCCCTGGTCCTTTTTTTTTTAACATTTAAAATTTTTTATTTATTTTTGGGGCTAGAGAAATGGCTCAGCACTGGCTGTTCTTGGTGAGGACCTGGGTTCTGTTCCCCCACATGGCAACTAACCATCTGTAACTCCAGTTCCAGGGGAATCAGATACCCTCTTCTGACCGCCTCAGGCATTTAATGACACAGGCACAGATACACACAGGCAATACATGTCATACACATAAAACAAAAATAAAATTTAAAAATAATGTAAATTTTTTTTAATTTTATGTGTATGAGTGCTTTGCCTGCATGTACCTAAGTATACCCATGTCATGGAATGCCTGCAGGGGCTAGAAGAGGGTGTTGGAGTCCCTGGAACTGGAGTTAAAAAGGGTTGTTAACCACCATGTGGGTGCTGGGAACTGAACCTGGGTCCTCTGTAATAGCAGCTAGTGCTCTAAGCCACTGAACCACCTCTTCAGCCTTCACAGTGTTCTTGAACATCTGGGTTCATGTGATCCTTCTACTTCAGTCCTCAGCTTGGACTACAGGTATGTGATGATTTAAAAAAAAAAAAACTAAGCCGGGCGTGGTGGCACACGCCTTTAATCCCAGCACTCTGGAGGCAGAGGCATGCAGATCTCTGTGAGTTCAAGCCCAGCCTGGTCTACATAGTGAGTTCCAGGCCAGATGGGGCTACTGGGAGACCCTGTCTCAAAAGAGGCCAAAAAAAAAAACTATAAAAATTTTGGACTTGCACTGGGGAACGTCTGGGGACACTGACCTGACACAGTGGGGGACTGTGTATATGGGTATATATACAAGATTGAGTATATGGATGGGTTCCAGAGAGGAGACTATGGGAGGGAGCTGGTGGGGACGGGGTTATAAAGATGATTCAGATTGTTTGAGATATTCTGTATAAAATACAACAAAATTTAATAAAAACATACCATATGAAAAAACTATAAAAATTCTACATGTTAGCTAGGTGTGGTGGTGCACGCCTGTAGTCCCAGCACTTGGGAGGCAGAGACAGGTGGATCTCTGTGAGTTCAAGGCCAGCCTGGTCTACATAGTGAGTTCCAGGACAGCTGGGGCTACAGGGAGACCTTGCTTCAAAAAGACAAAAAAAAAAATCCACATGTTATGGAGTAATAAGATATATTTTGGGGAGGCCTTGAACTCACAGAGATCCACCTGTCTCTGCCTCCCGGGTGCTGGGATTAAAGGCGTGCGCCACCATACCCAGTGTAATAAGATATTTTAATGTATACATTATGTATACATTTTGTAATGTTGAAATCAAGGTAAACAGATGTTTTTCCTGAGTAGTTTTTGTTTTTTGTTTTTTCAAGGCAGAGTCTTCCTGTAGCCCCATCCTGGAACTCACTATGTAGACCAGGTTAGCCTTGATCTCATAGAGATCCATCTGCCTCTGCCTCCCGAGTGCTGGGATTAAAGGCTGGAGAGATGGCTCAGTAGTTAAGAGCACTGGTTGCTCTTGCAGAGGACCTAGGTTTGATTCCCAGCACCCACATGGCAGCTAACAACTGCTTTTAATTCCAGTGCCAGGAGATCTGAAGCCCTCTTCTGACCTCTGAGGGCATTGCATGACATGAGTATACCTACCCACATGCAAGCAATACACCCATATAGACAAAATAAAATTTAAAAAAACCAACATCTTAGGGTAGTGAGAACACCACAGAGCAATAAAACATCTCTGAGCATCCCAAGGTTACATTTCAAGGTATATACCCAATAAGTAAAACAAAGGAAAACTTCAAATGTCCTAAGCTTATAAGGACATTATATAAGAAACACAGTTATAAGAATGTGGGAAGCGAGCACAGCCGAGCCAGCCAAAGATGGAGCCCTGGCTGGCTGCCAAACCTCGTGCTGTTTACTTCAACTCTTGGCTGATTGCCAAGGCTCGTGAATCCCGCTTGTTTACCCCAACTCTGAAGTATGGTGAGCCCAAAAACAGGTGCTGCCAGCCTGATGATCTTGCTACGTGGCTAATGAGCTGCACTCTGCCTGGCCGCTGCACGTGTGTGAGCTTTGATTGGTCCCGGCTGGGGGGAGGGCTGTTGGAAACGCTATATAAAGAGCTGAAGCGTGTAATAGAGAGGACTGACGGACAACAGCAACAACGAGACAGCATCATAGTGAGAGAGAATGAGAGAGAATGAAGTGAGAGAGAATGAATGAAGTGAGAGAGATAGAACAATGAGACAGCATCATAGTGGGTGAGATAATGAAGAGAATATGAGAGAATAAAGGAAGAGAAACAGAAGCTTGAACCTCACCTTGGTGTCTGTGTCATCTTTCCTGGACTCTGCTGGACAGAGTCCCGGCTCGCGACATAAGAATATAACTTTTTCGGGCTGGAGAGATGGCTCAGTGGTTAAGAACGCTGGTTGTTCTTGCAGAAGACCCAGGTTCGAATCCCAGCACCCACATGGCAGCTAAAAACTGTCTATAACTCCAGTCCTAGGGGATCCGACAGCCTCTTCTGACCTCTGCAGGCATTGCACGACATGGGTGCACTTACCTACATGAAGGCAATACACACACATAATTTTTTTTAATTTATAAAAAAAGAGCCAGATGTGGTGGCATACGCCTTTAATCCCAGCACTCAGGAGGCAGAGACAGGCGGATCTCTGAGTTCAAGGCCAGCCTGGTCTACATAGTGAGTTCCAGGACAGCTGGGGCTACAGGGAGACCCTGTCTCAAAAAGACCAAAAAAATTATAAATAAAAGAATATAACTTTTTATTTCTCACTGCCTCCCCTGGTGTTATAGCTTTATATCCAATGAAACCCTTCTCTCCAGTAGTCTTTTTGAGACAGGGTCTCCCTGTAGACCCAGTTGGCCTGGAACTCTCTATGTAGACCAGGTTGGCCTCAAACTCACAAAGATTTGCCAGTTTCTGCTTCCCAAGTGCTGGATTAAAAGTGTACACCACCACACCTGGCTTTTCCAGTGGTGGTGTACTTCTTGCCTACTTTCTGTAACGTGGGCTGAGGTGGCATTATGGAGAAAGAAGCTCAGAGCCAGCAGTGGGGTAATGGCGGTGACAGTTGAGCAGCTGGCAGCCAGCTGTGTGATACCTGCAAGAAGCAGTAGTTGAGATTGCAAGAGAGGGTAGAGAGCTGAGATTGAGGAAGGATAAATGATTAGCCAGAGAAGAGAAACTGTAGGCTTTGAAGACAGAAGTGTTCTAGAGAGCTGTCAAGTCTTTTCAGCCAAGTCTCAACCCTAGACCAAGAATTGTTAACACTGGCTGACATTAAGACCTAAGAAAGAGATGGCTCAGCAAGTAAAACCACTGGTTGCTCTTGCAGAGGACCCAGGTTTGGTTCCTAGCTAGCAACTGTCCATAACTCCAGTTCCAAAGGATACCCTCTTCTGCCTTCTGCAGCATTGCACGACATAGGTGCACTTATGTACATGCAGGCAAAACACTCAAAGTAAGAAGAAGTAAAAAAAATTGAAAATATAGCTAAGAAGCTGGGTATGGTGGCACATGCCTTTATTCTCTCTCAGCACTTGGGAGGCAGAGGCAGGCAGATCTCTGTGAGCTCAAGGCTAGCCTGGTCTACATAGTGAGTTGCAGGCCAGCTGGAGCTACAGGGATACCCTGTCTCAAAAAGACCCCCGCCACACCAAATAAAGCTAAGAAACACTTTCTAGGCCTACACAATGAATGAAATGCCTACTGCCATCAAGGGCTGAGGAATCCCTACATCTAGGCCTGCCAGTTTTACCAGCAACAGGCAATGGCTGAGGAATCCTTACCTCTTAAACCTACACAAGACACTGAATACTTTTAGAACTAAGGGACCTAATACCTCCAGGCCCCTAGCACTAGGAGGTGCCACCTGCTGCCTCTCCCTCCACACATGGCAGGAAATGAAAACTGCCAAAGACTAGCAGCACTTAAAGAGCCTCTTGTCTACCCACAGTTCCTATCTGGGTAGAGCAAAAGGACCCCAGCCAGCTGATTGGCAATGCTTCCTTGGGTGGTGGGAACAGAACTCAGATCCTCTGCAAAGGCTCAGGCACTCTTACCAGTGAGAAATCTTTCCATCCCCCAGTATGTACTATTTATGTTTTAATTTATTTTTTATGAGTGTTTTCCCTGCATAGATGTAAGTACATCACATGTGTGCAATGCCAGCAGAGCCCAGAAGAGGGTATTGGATCCCCTGGACAGTTGTTAGCCATAGTGTGGGTGCTGGGAACTGAACACTAGTCCTCTCCGAGAGCAGTCAGTGCTCTTAACTGCTGAGACGTCTCTCCAGCACCCACAGTATGTACTCTGAACTGTTCAGCCGCTAGCGCAGCTTTAGTTTCTCCAGTTCTTGTTCAGGAAGGGTACTTGCTTGATGTTCGTTGAATGAGTATGTGTTGGCCAGTTTTCCCTCCCCATTTACTTCTGCTGTAATGTTGCTGCCTTAGCGGATCTTCCTGGCTCAGGGTGGTCAAGAAGTTCTGCCACTACAGAATGTTTCATAGTGCAATGTTCATAAGGGCAGCCAGGGCTACAAGGAGGTTACTCCGCCAGTGACACTTTATTTCCGGCAGTTTAAACACGTGGTTTGTGGGTTTGCATGCCACAATAGCCCTTGTGTACCCATCACAGGCGCCAGCATCACAGCTTATCTGTCTCTGTTGCGTAGCTTCCTTTGGATCGGTGTCGCCCTCGAGAAGCCGAGGGAGCTGCCTAGTCACTACTCCAACGTCGATGGTAGGGTTTGGGAGATCGCTGGACAAAGACTAAGGAGGCGGGGGATGGTCCTAGGGAAGGGAACAGCCAAGAGAAAAGCAGACCACGCCCACTCAGGGCCTCAGTCCACGCCCACACCAACCCCCCCAAACACTGCGCCGCAACAGCACTCAGGCCACGCCCCCACCCCTTCCCGCGCAGGCGCTTGTTGTGCAGCCTCAAACGCACCGCAGATTCGTCCCGTGCTGCCGTCCGGGACCAGCCTCAGAAACTCTAAATATTTGTGCCAGTTCCACGTGAATCCTAGGACTCGAACTCACGTAGCGGATGAGCCTGAACTGACGCGCAGTCCCGACGCCGTGGCGAATCGGCGGCGCGCGGCAGCGGGCACGCGGCTGCGGCTCCGGCTCCCTAGCGTAGTGGTGGGAGGAGCCTCGACGAGGTGCGTAGTCTGGTCGGGTCCTGCGTGCTATAGGGTTTGCAGTGGTCACGGCCTCGAAGGTAGGCTCTGGTGTTCGAGGGGCTGGGTGCCCCTGGGGCAGCAGACGCTGGGTTTGGGGTACCCATTTACTCAGTACTCTCCAGCTGCACGGAGGAGGCTGTCCCGGGAGCACACGCCTGTGTCCCGGGAGAAGCCCTGCTCCGCCTAACGGGCACGGTGCGGGACTGAAGCCCTGTCAGACCCCGGGGGAAGCAGGGTACCGGGAGAAGAAGGCTAGGACAGAGAGGGTGAGAGCCTGGGAGGCGTCAGAGGAGAGCTGGTGGGGTTTCTGAGATTTGGAGCAGTCCCTCCTCCCTTGGCTGAGTCTCGGGTGCTACGGGGAGAATTCTTGACCCTCACGTGCTTTTCTGGACCCCTTCAGCCCTATTCTTTCTACAGGATGTACCCATCGCAGTCTGCTGTCCGACTCACTGTCCAGGAAGCCGTTCACATTCTTAAATCCTCAGAGGACGCTGGCCACCTTCTCTCCACCCTGGGGGCCCTGAAGCCCTATCTTGGTGGCGCTGAGGGCACTGCTTTTCCTGGGGGGAAGGAGGAGTTTGCCACCGTTCATTTCTCAGCCTTTCTCAGATGTCTGGTGAGCAAGCTGAGCCCCAGTTGGCTGGAGCTGTCTCCCGGTGGCGAGCTGGAGCAGCTCTGGGAGAGCTTCTTCCTGGAGGGTCCTGCAGACCAAGCCTTCTTAGTGCTGATGGAAGCCATTGAGGGCACTGCTGGGTGAGCAGCACATGAGCAACAGGGCCTCTTAAGTTCTGAGAAGTGGTCCAACACTTGAAACTGTATGGCTATATCCAGTTCTGCAAGGTGGGGCCTGCCACATCTTAGCCAGGCTCTTGCTCTCTCTTGTTGGAGGCTTGGAGGATGGGAAAGGACCACATCACAGACAGCAGGAGCAAATCAGCTCTTCACAGAGCCTCCAATGACCCCAGCTGACACCAGCAAAGCACTTGGCCACCTGCTGTCCTTTTCTAGACTTTCCCTTTTTACTATGGCACTCTTGAGGACCACCTCAGGACTTTTCAGGTTTTTAAGGGAAGCACAGCCTAGCTGCCATGTGGCCACCATGAACTCCCAATTCTCAGGTTCCACATCAGATCAAGTGGCATAAACTCCCAACTCTCAGGTTCCACATCAGATCAGTCCTTGGGAGGATATAGTGGCTTTAAGAAGCTAGGTTTGCCAGGTGTGATGGTGCACACCTGTAGTCCCAGCACTTGGGAGGCAGAGGTAGGCAGGTTGCTGTGAGCTCAAGGCCAGCCTGGTCTACATAGTAAGTTCCAGGACAGCTGGGGCTACAGGGAGACCCTGCTTCAAAAAGACAGAAAAAAAAAAAGAAGCTAGGTTTTTGCTGAGCATGATGGCACATGCCTTTATTCCCAGGCAGAGGCAGGTGGATCTCTGAGGTCTAGGCCCGCCTGGGCTGCATTAGTGAGACCCTGTTTAAACAATCAAACAAAAACAAAGAAGCTAGGTTTTTAGAAGTTGTTGTGGTGCAAAACAAGCACAGTGTGGAGTAGGGGAAGAGGTGGTGGTATCCGTCTGTACAGGACCCAAGTAGTTCTCCCACTAGTAACTGGTTATTCAGTGAAACTTTTTTTCAGCTGATTTAGAATGTAAATGCTTGTGAAGTTGTTGGGACTGATTCGTGTGTGTGTGTGTGTGTGTGTGTGTGTGTGTGTGTGTGTGTATGTGTGTGTTTGTTTATGGAGGCCAGAGGCCAACCATGGATGTCATTCCTCAGGATGTGTGTTCATGTTGGCTTTTTTTTCCCTTTTCTTTTCTCATGTGTGGTGTGATATGCGTGCGTGTGTGTGTGTGTGTGTGTGTGTGTGTGTGTGTGTGTATGTATGTATGGAAGTACAAGGTTGATGTCAGGAGTCATCCTTGATCACTCTTCTACCTTAGTCACTGAGGCAGGGTCTCATTGAAACCCAAAGTTTAATGATCTAGTCTAGTCTCCCTGGCCAGCTTGCTCTGGGGATCTCCTGTCTCTGCCTTTTGAGGCTGGAATTACAGGCCACTACCACAGCCACTTAGGTCCTAGGGATCCAAACTCTGGTCTTCACAATGAGCCATCTCTCTAACCTCGAAAACCTTTTTTAAGATTTATTTAATTTTTCAATCTTTTAAAATTTATTTTTTTAGAATATGAGCCATCTCCCTAACCTCAAAAACCTTTTTTATTTAAAATTAATTTTTCAATCTTTTAAAATTTATTTTTTTTAGAATATTTATTATTTTTATTTTATTTGGTACCTTCATGTATTTAAGTGCACCCATGTCATGCAGTGCCCATGGAGGTCAGAAGAGAGCATCAGATCTCCTCAAACTGGTGTTACAGATGGTTGTTAGTCACCATGTGGATGCTGGGAACCAAACCCAGGTCCTTTGCAAGAGCAGCAGCTAGTATTCTTGAGCCATCTCTCCAGCCTCAAAACTTTTTTTTTTTTGTCTTTTTCTTTTTGAGATAGGGTCTTTTTGTAGCCCCAGCTGTCCTGGAAGTCACTATGTAGACCAGGCTGGCCTTGAACTCACAAAGATCCTCCTGCCTCTGCCTCCCAAGTGCTGGGATTAAAGGTGTGTACCACCATGCCCAGCAAAATGTATTTATTTTTGACAGGGACTCATCATGTAGCTCTGACTGGCTGTAACTTGCTATATAGACCAGCCTTGCCTCAAAATCACAGGGATCCACTTGCCTCTATCTCCCAATTGCTGAGATTAAAGGTATATACCACTACACCCAACCTTTATTTTTAAATTATGTGTCTGTTGGTATGTGTGCATGTGGATATAGGTGCCCATATAGGCTAGAAGTGTTTGTACCCTGGACCTGTAGTTAAAGGTGGTTGTGAGCCACCTAACATGGGTGCTGGGAATTGAACTCCAGTCCTTTGCAAGAGCAGTAGGCACTTTTAACTACTGAGCTATCTCTCTAGCCCCAAATATCCTTGTTTTATTAGGGTCTCCCTTTAGCCTGGAGCTTGCCAATTAGGCTAGGTGTCTGGCCAGCAAACCTCAGGGATCCAGCTGTCTGTCTCTCCAGTGCTGGAATTACAAGCACTTATTACCTCACTTGGCTTTTTTTTTTTTTTTTTAATCGTTTTTTTTGGGACAGTGTCTCCTTGTAGCCCCACCTGTCTTGGAACTCACTGTGTAGACCAGGCTGGCGCCGAACTCACAAAGATCCGCCTGCCTCTGCCTCCCAAGTGCTGGGATT